AAAAAAAAAAAAAAAAAAAAAAAAAAAAAAAGAATTAAATGTGGCAGCTGTGGGCGTCCTTGTTTTTTGAGTTTGTTGTATTTTTGAAAATGGCTCTTGTTTCTTCTTACCACTTTGATTGATTTTTTTATTAAAATTCCTCTAAAAACTAAACATGGAGCTGGAGAATTGGTAGAAGCAGAAAGCATGAACAGAGTGTGTGTCTTTTGGTTGTTTTGAGGCGGGGTCTCACTGTGTAGTTCAGGCTGGCCTTGAACTCACTATGTAGCCCAGGCTGAAGTCACGGGCAATCCTCCTGCTTCAGCCTCCTGAATGCTGGGATCACAGGCATGCGCCACCACGCCTGGCAAGTGCATGTCTTGAGTGCCTGGGAGTCCTGGAAGGATGCTGGCTGTGGGGACAGGCTTTGTCCATGTCCCCTGGGTGGATTCTGAAGAGCCAATGGTTATATCTGCGAGACAACTGCCAGCTTCCTTCCCCAGGTGGAATTTGGATAGCGAGTTAGTAGAATCCCGTAAGAGTGTGTAAGACTTTTTCAGATTCGAAAGAAAATAACCCTCCAGATTTGTCTAGGTCAAAGGCAGAAGCTTCAAAGAGGAGGGGCGTGCTGTTCTTGCTCCCGCTTAGCAGCACGGCTGTCACAGTCCCGATCTCTTTCTCACCCCACAGAACCAGCGGGTCCCGGCCGACATGATCTTCCTGAGGACGTCAGAAAAAAACGGTAAATGTCCAACACCAACTTGGAAAACGACCTTTAACCTTTCAGGGGCAAATGGGCAAAGTCATCATTTGAAAATGTAACAGAAGTAGATGAGCGCTTTGGAGCCGTGGAGATGAATGCAGAACGCCTCGTTGGGTAGCACAGTCTTTTAGAACAGATGCGCCTCTGGTGCCGCGGACTGGTGGGTTCTGATCTTGGGAAAGAGGACCGGGAGACTGGCACCTGGTGAAGCCGCCTCCGGAAGCCTTGGCCTGCTCCCGGGGCTGGTGAGGCTCAGCTTCAGGAGCAGGTGGGATGACAGTGTCTAACAGAGGGAGTGTCTTTGGAGCAGTCCAGGAGATTGGTGAGGGGGGCAGTATGGAAATTGAGCAGAGGGGTAATTACCTGTACCTCCTTTTTTTTTTTTTTTGATTAAACCCAGGGTCTTTACACTGAGCTTGGTCCCAACCTTTTATTTCATTTTGAGTCAGGGTCTTGCTGAGTTGCCAAGTTGCCCAGGATGGGCTCACACTTGCAGTACTCCTGCCTCAGCCTCCCAGAATGCTGGGATCAAGGTGTGCCACCATGCCCAGCTGCCCTTCGCTCTGGAGCGGCGGGGCTGCACCACTAGCCTGTGGGTTAATTTGTCGTCATAGCCCAGTTTGCCAGAGAGAATCTCACCGAGTCTCCTGTAAAACCCTTACCTGGTGCATTTATTTCCTGCCTCACTTTTTTATTTGTATTTAAGCTGTTCTGGTGTTTTATTTTGTTTCTTGTTTTGGTATCTGAACATCTGAAAAATGTACATTCCTACTCCTTTGGGGTTCTCATGATTTACTATGAATTAATTGAAGTTATGAATAGAATTTTATACTAATGATACATTTAAGTAATTGGGAGAGAGGGTAGAGGGTTCTGGGTTAAAACAGTCTTCCAAAGGCTGCAGCTCTGTCCTTGGATGGGTTCTGCGTGGGGCTTGGGGAACACAGTGCCATAGGTCAGGGCCCTCACACCCCCATCTTGACAGCAACAAAAGCCCAACTTGGAGCACTTTCCTGTCGTGGTTCTCAGATGTCTGGGTCAGCGAACTGAAATTCTTATTTTTTTTATTTTTTATTTTTTTGGTACCGGGAATCAAACTCAGGACCTTGTGCTCGCCAGGCAGGCACTTGTGCCCCTGAGCTATATCGCCAGCCCTGAATATGCCATTTGTTCCGTGAAATGCAGAGCTCATTGCATGGACTTGCACGTCACACTGTGAGACGTGTGAACCCGTGCAGCCCGAGTGTACCTTGCCTGAAATACTCGGGGCCAAGAGAGTTCCAGACTCTGGGTCTTTTCCAGCTTTGGAATACGCGCCAGTACAGCGTGAGCCGTCTTGGGGACAGAGCGAAGTCTCAACCCGAAAGGCACTGGTTTGTGTTTTGCGGCTGCCTTCCCCACACAGGCTGAAGGACCGTTTGTACGGTATTTTCAGTAATTACGTGCCTGTGACCAAGGCTCGTCCTACTTGTGACATCAGGCTGGCTTTCAGGACACTTGGATTTTGGATTTCCGGGTTGGCGTTGCTCCCCCTGCGCTAGCGGCAGACGCTGACCGGCTCCTTCGCAGTGCCAGCACTGGCCTGCACGCTGCCCGGCCAGCTCTCCTGTGCCCCCAGCATTCCTGAAGCGGTGTTTTCTTGCCTCATTGTCAGGGAAACTGAGGTGCCGACAGGAGACAGACTCATAGCCCCGCCTAGCATGGCCTCAAAGGCTGGGCAGCCCCTGGGTACTTGCAGCGAGCTTGTCAGGACTGCGTCTCTCCCGTTTTGCAGGGGAGGACACTGGCTCAGCAGGGTCAACTGCCCCAGCATCCCTTGGCAGGTGACAGCAGGGTAGAAGTGGGAGCCAGATGTCCCTGACCGAGCGCCTGTGGAGCAAGGGGCAGCAGTGCATTTGTTTTCCTTTTGGGTCTCTGGCTGTGGATGGACCAGAGTAGAGGGGTCCCAGAGGGGCCTGGCCAGGGGCTCCTGGGTTGCAGGTGACTCGATGGCCCCCCACCTCCTCCACAGGTTCTTGCTTCTTGCGGACGGACCAGCTGGACGGGGAGACAGACTGGAAGCTGCGGCTGCCCGTGGCCTGCACGCAGCGGCTCCCCACGGCCTCTGTGAGTAGCTTCCCGCCACTGCACAGAGCAGGGTGCTCAGAACTGCGTGCCCTGCCCGGCCCCCAGGGCATGCAGAGGTGAACGGGGCTGCTGGGGTGCTGGTCCCGAGAACCCAGGACGTTTATGCGGCTTGGAAGGTGCAGCCCCAACGTGCAGGGGCCAAGCGCCTTCCAGCGGGGCTCAGCAGCCTGAGCGCTCAGCTCAGTGCCTGGCAAAGCATCAGCAGTCACCCAGAGCAGGTCACGCCTCCGTCAGCGCCTCCGGCGGCCTCATCTCTTCCTGAGAGCCTGTCCTCAGCCCGAGGAGCTGTCCACGCTACATTTGGGCTCCGGCCTCAGCGATGCCCCCTCTCCCCTGCCCCTGGCCTCTTGGTTGAGAGTGCTTCTGCCTCAGACAGTTCCCCTAGGCAGGTCCTCCACTGGAACCCTCTCAGCCTGTGTCTGCTGGCCGGGCACCTGCAGCGCATTGCCACCTTGCCTGGTGTGCCCACCCCACCCGCCCCTAGGCCTGGTCTGCCGCGGGCACTGCCTGCTGTTGCCCGCTGGGCCTGGGGAAGAGAGCAGGGCGCCGTGTCTGCGTCTCGGTCACAGGCCTCCGTGCTCCTCCGTGCTGAAGGAGGGGGCGGGAGGGGTGCTGCCCCTTAGAGGAGGTAACAGCCTGAGCCTGGCCACCGTGCTCCTCACTCGGCACGGCTTGCGGGAAGTGAAATAGCTCCGTCGCTGCTGTTAAGTTGTAGAGCAGGAATCCAAGGAGAGCGAGTTCTAGGTGCTGTCTGGCGGCCCTGGAAAGTGTCAAACCCGTCACATGGAGCCAGCTAAGGATACAGGGTCCATTTTACCTGGGACCCATGTTTCATGTTTCACTTGCTGGTTCAGGTTCTCGGAAAACAGGGTTTTGGTGCCCAGTGTGATTTGCAGGACTTTGCTCAGAGCCCAGAAGGGAAAACGCCAGCCAGGTCTGCAACTCACGTTTCCTAGAGTGCGCTTTGTGAGCATCTCCATTTGCCCTCATATGATCCAGGCCTGGCCCGAGGTTCAGAGAAAGGAAAAATGCTGCTGTCCCTACTTGCAGGGACCCAGAGCAGCTCTGACCTCTGATAAGGTGTGGATAAGGTGTGGTATTTTATGGTTAAATAAAAATTAAAATTTTTTTGTCTTTGTTTTTGAGACTGTGTCACTATGTAGTTGAGACTGACCTTGGACTCACTACATGTCCCAGGCTGGTCTTGAACTTGCCACCACCATACCTGGCTGGGACTTTGCAAGAATTATAGAAGTTGGCCCTGAAGGTATACACCTTAGTCTCAGTGCTTTGTAGGCTGAGCCAGGGAGTTCACAAGTTTGAGAGCAGTCTGGGCCACAGAGTGTCTTCTAGGCCAGCCTCAAAGAGTACACAACAAGACCCTGCCTCAAGAAAAGCAAGGCAGACTGTGTAAAAAGATTACCCAAGTAAAACAAATACGAATATATTCTTGGTTAAGACAAACCCCTACGTTCTGTATTGAAATCTTGGAACAAAGTGCAAAGTTTTGCCCACATCTTCTCCTCCAAGTTCTTACCTTCGGCCTGGAGGGGGTCATGTAAAGTAGGTGGAGATCTTGCCACATCTTTTTCTGTGCACTTACACGCCTGTGTGCGTGCACACACTTACAGACGTGTGTGGGTGGTGGTTTCACAGATGGGGTTTCACGCTGCGTATTGTCCTGCATCTGCCCTGCACTTTCAGGCGTCTCTGGACTTTTCCTCACCCATACGGGGAGCCCTTGGTCTCAACGCTGCGCACAGGCGCCTCCCCGCTGGTCACCAGGAGGCCAGGCCGCCTGAGGGCCCTGGGCCTGCGCTGCTCCTGCCCTTGTTGCTCCCTGACCACCTGATGGTTTGCAAAAGAGAACTCACAAGAATCCCTCAGATTTTAATGTGGGTGGTTTGGTAAAAATGTAAAGCCCATCCTCATTCATTCTTTCATGTGTCCGTGTAGTATGATAAGGTGTGGAAATCATAATGTATCCATTTTCTATCCCGTAATATTTACAGGCAATTTTATGTTCATCTAGCACTTTATAACCAGGAATCTTGGTTTTAAAGATAAATTTATCTAGGAAGAGCTTGCTTCCCTCCCCGCTACAGACCACCTCTGCTTCCCTTTAAAAGATCTAATGAAGGAGGGGTAAAAGGAAACCTCGGAGGGCCCACAGGTGTGGTGTGCAGTGCCTGCCTGGTGTGTGTGGGGCCCTGAGTTCTGTCCCTGGCACTGGAACAAAAGCAGGTGTGGCAGCAAGGTCACCATCCTAGCTTACCTGGTCGCAGGGCCAGGGGCCTCTGCCTATGTGGGGCCCAGCTCACCCGGGCTCCTGGGCAAGATCAGGGCTGGTTTTTTTTTGGTACCAGGAATCGAACTCAGGACCTTGCGCTTGCCAGGCAGGTGCTTATGCCACTGAGCTATATCCCTGGCCCCAGGGCTGGTTTTGAAAGAATTGCATTAGAATGAAGAGAAGGTAAGAACGAAGAAAGGGAGGACAGAAGAAACAGCAGATACACAGGTGCGAGGGCAGAGCAGGTACAGTGATAGCAGCAAGCTTGGTTCCTGCTTGACTTCCTTCCTGCCGTGGGGGCTCCTGCTGCTGCTGCTGCCCCGTGCCTGCCGCCTGCCTCCTCCCACCAGACCCACCCTCCGGGCCTCACGTGCTCTGTTGCGCAGGGAAGGAGAGAGGGCTGGCTGAGCCTTGACGGGTGCGAGGGAGCTTGGCTTTGCTCTGGGCTCTGCCTGCAGAATAGTGTCTGTGGTCCAGGACAGGAATTCAGGGGCCCTCGCAGCAGTGTGCTTCCTGTTAGGGAAAAGAAGCCTTGAGGAAAATCAACAGAGAGCCCATCTTGCTGCCGCGTGTGTGCACGAGAGTGTGCGCAGGAAGAGTCAGGTAGAGCAGGTGTGACACAGCTGGAGTAAGTTTTGGGCTTGTGGCTCCTCTCTCTTGAAAGAGTCTGGGCGACCCGTAACCACAGAGAGCTGGAACCGCGGGTCGGGGTCCTGCTGTCTGCAGCACACAGGGTAACCTTCGGCTTGGCTTTGAGCTTGGTGCACCCCCTCCTGTGCCGGTGCATAGAGCCGCCTCTCCCGTCTCCCGGGGACCTGCTGCTTCTGGACTTCCTTTGCGTTTCCATGCTGCCTCCTTCCCTGCCTTCCCCTTCCCGCCGCACAGCGCCTTCCTCTCCTTATCCTTTGCTCTAGAAGGGACTCTGCTCCTCCTGACTGTACCTGTCTCATGCACTTACACTCCTACTTAATATAAGGAGTTTCCAAGAATTGCCAAGGCTTCCTCTCTGTCTTCTGTCTAAAGCCATCCCTGCCCCAGTGCTGGGGATGAACCCAGGCCTCAGGCATACTACACAAGCGCTCTATCCCTGAGCTATGGCCCCAGTCCTTCTCGAGAATTTTGAGACAGGATCTCACTAAGTTGCCCAGGTCGGCCCCAAGCTTGTGATCCTACTGCATCAGCCTCCTGAGTAGCTGGGGTTATTGGCGTGGGCCATCACACCAGGCCATGTGAACTGTTTTTAAGTGTGCAGTTTAATGGCATTAAATCCATTCACACTGTTGCGTAGCCAGTACCACCAGCCGTCTCCAGAACTCATCTTTTCTCCTGCCCTGAGTTCCGGCGGTCATCCTTCGGTCCTTTGACTCTGACTGCTCTCCTGCGCGGAGTCATACTGTGTTTGTCTTCTGTGTGTCTGATTTCTTTCACTTAGCATGATGTCCTTAGCACTTGGCCGTGTTATAGCATGTGTCAGACTTTCTTTTTTTTAAGACCAAGTAATACTCCGCTGTATGAAGATGTGACATTTGGTTAATTCATCCGTGATGTGCATGCCTCATGGGTGTGTGAGTAACTCACACAGGTGTGCAGATAGCTCTTCCAGTCCTTGCTTGTGATTCTTGTGGACATATTCCCAGAAGTAGAATTGGTTGGACCATAAGGTAATTCTATGTTTAATTTAAAAAAAAAATTTTTTTTTTTTTGAGGCAGAGTCTCACTATGTAGTCCAGGCTGGCGTTGAACTTGCTTATGTAGCCCAGGCTGACCTCAGATTCATGGTGATCCTCCTGCCTCAGCCTCCCAAGTGCTGGGATTGCAGGCGTGCGCCACCACACCCAGCTTATGTTTAATTTCTTGAGGAAGCACCACGCTGTTCCCCACAATGGCTGCACCATTTTACATTCCCCCTGCGGTGCACAAGGTTCCAGTTTCCCTATACCTTCGCTGACGCTTGCTGTTCCCTCTGATCGTGACAGAGGCCTCTTGTAGGAATGAGGTCTCTTACTGTCTTACATGCCCCTCCCAGAGCTGGGCATGCAGTCAGTGCCCAATAACCGTGCGTTGAACGAACGAGGTTGTCATGCTGAGCAAGGGGGGGAGTGTGTCTGTGTCAGGTGGCGTCACCTGAGCCAGCAAGGTTGGACAGTGCCTGGTGAAGGCGGGTTAACAGGTGTCCGCAGCAGAGACCCCCGGGGGTTCACATGGAGTTGCATGGAGCAACTCCTCAACCAACACAACGGAGAAGTCTCCTTTTTTTCCCACCTGCCCTCTGATTTTGAGAATCTGTTTGCTCTGTCTGGGAAATGTAATTGCTTTTGAAGAATGGTACATGCTTACTAAATCCAGACTCATAGCCTGACTCTGTATCCCCCATGGCCGCTCTGTTGAGCAGGACCTTCTCCAGATTCGCTCGTACGTGTATGCGGAGGAGCCGAACATCGACATTCACAACTTCGTGGGAACTTTCACCAGGGTAAGTCAGCTCGCCAGCGCGGGCTTCGTAGGGGGTGTGTCAGTGAAGGAGGCTGCGGAGCCTTGCACAGGCAGTGGTTTCATGCCTGATGGGCTGAGGTTTCCTTCCGGAGGCCCGCCTTGCGAGAGACAGGCGGTTTCTCCTGGGCTCCCCAGGCCCGCAGTCTCCTGCCAGCCTGAGACCAGCGGCAGTCGCGTACGACCATGAGTGTGACGGTGAGTGCCGCCTCACAGCTGAGCACACTTTCTCTGTCCTCTCCGTGTGCGTCTGTCCCCCTTTTTTTTTGGTACTGGGGATCGAACTCAGGACCTCGTGCTTGCCAGGCAGGTGCTTGTGCCACTGAGCTACATCCCCGGCCCTTGAGCTACATCTCTGGCCCTGTCCCTTTTTTGTTTGTACAACTCCTATCTGTCGTATCTTAATTTTTAAGCCACCCTCAGACCTTTCACAACAGAAATTAAATTTGGATTTAAATTAGTTTAAGAGTATGAGTCAGTAGATTTATAGAATCCCAATTCAGGTGTCGCTGGTCTCTTTCTCAAAGCCATAAGATTGGCTAGCAAAGAGGCTGATTGATTTCCTTCTGCATTTTAATTCTCACCTTTCTAAACATCTTTTTTTCGTTGTTCCTTGGTTCTGAGGTTTGAGCCATGGGCCTTGTAGGCTGATGCTCTGCCACTGAGCTACACCTTCAATCCTTCTAAAATTTTATTTTTAGAAAGGGTCTTGCTAAGTTGCCCAGCCTGGCATGGAACTTGTGATCCTCCTGCCTCAGCCTGCTGAGTGGCTGGGAGTACAGGCATGTGCCACAGTGCCCAGCAAAACATTTCTTTAGTGTGAGAGAGCTGCGCTTCTCAAATCACTGACAGCTGTTTCCGTGGGCGATGAGAACTCTGAGGGGAGTAGCCAATGAGCTTGACCCTCTCAGCTTGTCAAGGCTGAGCTTCGGGCTTCCAAGCGCGGGTCTCCGGTTTCAGGAGGTGGAAGCTGCCTCCTCTGCCCTGCGGGGAGCAGGCTGGAAACAGCTTCTGGGCGCTGGCAGGACCCTGGGGGTATACAGTCAGGCCCCAGCGTTTTCCTTAGGTTCTGTATCTGCGGTTCAACCAATCATGCATCACAAATATTTTTTTTTGAAGTTTGTATCTGTGTAGAACACGTGCAGATTTTGTTTTTGTTATTCCCTGAAATCTGCGGAATACCACGTTTGCGTAGCATTTCACTGTATTGAGTATCATCGGTCACCGGAGATGAAGGGAGGGAAGGCAGCAGGACGTGTGTGGGTTTCTAGCTGTCACGGTATATAAGGGACTTGCGCGTCTGTGGGTTTGGGTACCCTTGAGGGTCCTAGGGCCAGTCAGCGTGGCCCTGGAGGGTGACCACTGAAGATGCCTCTGTCTGGTCTTTTCCAGGAGGATAGCGACCCTCCCATCAGCGAGAGCCTGAGCGTGGAGAACACGCTGTGGGCCGGCACCGTGATAGCGTCAGGTGAGGCACCGCGTCCAGGAATGTGTTAGCAATTTGAAAAGGACAGAAAGCCCTTCTGTAATTAGAATAATCACCTCTCAGATGGGAAAATTAGCCGTCGGTCAGATGGAGTTTCCCACTTGTTCCAGCGCCTCCGGGGAGTTAAGCTGACATCTAATTGCAGCTCGGACACTACAGACATGTAGGGGAGAGGCCGCTGGGGCTGTGGACCTTCTGCAGCGGTCACGCTGGGAATGGCCCTTAATTGCCACTTCTGTTGACATTCTAATCTGTACCAGAAATGGAGTCGCCTGGCTCTTCTGGCCAGAAGCTCCGTCTTTGGGGGCTGCTGCCCTGGGGGTGTGGGGTCAGGGACAGCAGCGCACAGCAAAGGGCCGAACCCCTGGGTTCCAACCCCAGGGTAAAGCGGAAGTGGGTGGTTTTGGCGTGAATGCCCGGCCGACCCGGGCGGAGGGGTTCCAGTGGCAGTGTCCAGTGTAGGTGCTGGCAGCCTGTGGGTCGGGCACTATGCTGGATCCTTTATGCGCCTCACACATGTCACCTCACCCACCTTGAGCACCCTGAGGACAGGCGCTAGGGTTACCCCTTTCTGCAGATGGGGAAACTGAGGCCCAGGAGGCTGGGTCCACACTGGCCTGGGGTGGTAAAAGGCAGATGCAGAACTCATTGTGTAGCTACTAATAACATTAGTATAGCACGTTGTATTATATAATTCACATACTAGCATAATTACCTTGCCGTTTAATTCCACCGCTGGCAGTTTCCTGTCTTAGCCGTTGGATGAATCTAATCTTTGCCCCTTCGGTCATAGTTCTTCTCCTGATCTCTGCTGACTCTTCTTTGTGTTCCTGTGACACAGCAGACTGTGGATCAGAATTCTGGGTGACCCGGGGTGAGGGGAGGAAGCACACGGCACCCCGGCTGTCCCCGGCACAGGCTCAGGGCTGGATGCAGTGGGCAGAGGCGGGCGCTCCCTGGAGCTGCTTTGCCGCCTGCCTTCCCTGAGCCTGCTTGTACCGGCATCACAGTCTGTAACGGTGTCTCGGTTCCCTTGTGCCTGAAGAAGGGACAGTGTGGCCCTGAAGATTCTGCTCAGGCCTCTCTGGTCAGGCTTTGGCCTCCAGGACACACAGCGGCACCCCCAGGCCAGCCCTCTCCGCCCTGCTTCCCCTGCCCCTCGAGCTCCCCAAGCCTGGCTGAGCTGGGTCCTCTTCCTCAGCAGTCTGCCCCACTTTCCCATTCCCAAGGAGCACGTAATTACTCTTCACGCTTCAATCACTGGAAAAGTAAGAGTCCCAGTTCCATTTGCATTTCATAGATTGCATTTTGCGTCTGTATTTGGTTTCTTCCTTTGCCTATCACTACTTGTTTCTGTCCTTTAATCATTTTGTTTAACTTTATAGCAACCTTATACATAAGCACCTAAATACTTTTCTAGACTGGTGGTCAGTGAAATCTTGTTATGTTTCAGTTTTGATTTGTGAAGACGTTTGACAGCTTTCTACATAGAAACCATTTCTTCCACTTTGGCCCGTCTGTTCTCCTCTGTCATTTTGTTTTTTGTTTTGTCTTTTTGAGACAGGGTCTCACTATGCAGTTCAGGCTGGCCTTGAGCTCACTTTGTAACCCAGGCTGGTTCCAAACTCACAGTGATCCTCCTGCCTCAGCCTCCCGAGTGCTGGGGTTATAGGCGTGCGCCACCATGTCCGGCTCCTCTGTTGTTTTGTAAGAATGCCTTGTAGAAGAAAGTCCATCGAACTGTTGTCTGTCATAGGTGGCACATATTTTTCTTACATCGCTCATCTCTTGTTCTAGTCTGTGATAGACAGTTTGCTTTTACTGTGTAGAAGTTCTCTGTTTTGCGGGGTACTGAGGATTGACCATGGGTCTCACCTGTGCAAGGCAAGTGCTCCACCACGGAGCTACATTTCAGATTTTGACCCATGTGACAAGCTTCCTTCCAGTTCACGTTCTTGATAATCTTATGTATACACCCAAATCTGCACCAGCAGGAGTCTCTAATTCTGAGACTTTGCTTCTGTTTTTTCTTTAGACTCCAGCTCCTGCCTCTTGATCAGTCCGCTGCTACCCATTGCAAGTTAAAAAAGGAAGAATCCAGTGTCACTAGATTTTCCACTTCTCCAGGGGAAGTTGCTGGTCTCAGTTTTCTGTATGAAAGCTCCTCAATTTAAAATGCAACACCCCACTTAAAACCTCGGAAGCAGGGCTGTCTCGGGGTGGTGGCTGTGCAGAGGGCGAGGCCAGGGTTGAGATCTCCTGGTAGCAGATCTGTGGTCCTGAGCACAGGGAGGACTTGGGCAGGAAAGGCCATTTTTAGCAGCCGGGCTGGTGGAGAACATGCCCTTTGGGGTCCGCTTGTTGTCAGAGCCCTCTCACCCTGGGCCTCGGCGTGGAGGACGCAGAGCTGCGTCTGCCTAGGAATGGGTGTAGTGGCCGTGTGGTCCTGTCTGGCTCTACCCAGCTCTACTCCCAGCGTCCTGCCATCTGCTCTGGGATGGGCCGAGGGCGGGCGCGTGCGGTCACAGGAGCCTGCCATCTGCCGAGGAGCGAGCTGCTGAGCTGCTCTCTGGCCTCCATCTGTTGAGCCTCCCGCAGGGAAGCCTTGTGCGGGAAGACGCGGCTGGCCTGCGTGACACTCCAAACTGGGGGCGGTGGGGGCGGAAAACTGCCCGCTGCTTCGCAGGCCCTGTGACATCGTGGCACTGGTGGGGGGGCACCGGTGGGGGGCGCTCTCCTGCTGCAGGTGGCTCCGGACCTCTGAGTCCCTCCAGCTCCCTCCACTTGGGTTCCCAGAGTGAGGCGCAAGAGAAGGCTGGCTGCTTGCTTCTTCCAGCAGAGATCAAACCGTTGCATCCCCAGGTCCTCTCCGAGAGCTGGCCAGGCTGGGGGCCCAAGTTTGAGCTCAGATGCTGTTAGCTCTGCTTCCCCAGCCGCCTGGTTTCTGCCATGTCTCCCCCCGCCCCTGGCTCTGACTTGCCTGGAGCGTCGTATTTCTTGCTTTCCTTTTTTGTGGCCACTGTACAGAGCATTTTCTTGGCACACACATTAAAAAGGGGAGACAGGGGCTGGGGATATAGCTCAGCAGCAGAAGCACTTACCTGGCAAGCGCAAGGTCATGAGTTCAATTTCCAGTACCAACAAAAAAAAAAGGGGGAGACAGGTAAATTTTTGACATGTTTTACCACATTTCCCCCCAAAGTAGATGTACCAATTTCTTCCTCAGCCAGTGGTGCCTATAACAGGATCCATTTTTCCACTCCTTGGCTGACACTGGGTCTGTCAGTGTTCTGAATTACTGCCTGTCTGGCGGGGGTGGGAGTGGCTTATTTTGCATCTCTTTGATTATTCAGTAGGATGAGTGTTTTTTTCTGATGCTCACTGGCCAGTTGTATTTCTTCACAAATTGCCTTGTTTTTAGCAGCGTTGATGCCTTTCCTTCTTGTGCCTGGAAGAAGAGGGGTGGGAAGTTCTTGGAAAGAGATTTCCATTTGTACGGGTGTTGCCCAAATGGCAAAACAAGCTGCAGGGTTGGAAAGCGCTGGGGAAAGGAGGGTGGTTCGAGAGCTTCCGTGATCACCCCTGGAGGCAGGAAGGTTCTGCAGCTCTCTGGAAGCCTGGAAGGATGGTGGCAAAAGGGGCAAATCTCTGTCCCCCAGCTCTGCTGCTAGCAGAGGCTGCTGGGCCCCACAGAACAGCACATCACATGAAACTCTCAGCGAAAATCAGAACGCTCCGCATCTTCCCTGACCCGTGTCCCACGCGGCCATCCACGCGGCTGCTGAACACTGGAAGTGGCTAGTGAGAAGGGGAACTGTGTTCTTTCATTTTAATTGGATTTCGCCGTCAGCAGTTGTATGTGGTTATGGCTGTGCTGCTGGTCAGCGCGCTGTGGGTCATTGGTTGGTCCCAGTGTCCGACGTGTGTCAGCCACGTCGCGTACCCACGAACAGGGTTCAGAAAGCATCTGCTCAAGTTGGCAGTGCTCAGCCTGTTCACAAGCCTACGCGTCTGCATTAATGTTCTGCGGTTTGGTTTCTCACTTCAGGGACTGTTGTGGGTGTTGTTCTTTACACCGGCAGAGAGCTCCGGAGCGTCATGAATACATCCAACCCCCGAAGCAAGGTGTGTAAGAGCTTGTGGGATGTGCTGGCCGGTGCATGTCGATGACGGCTGCCAGGGGGTGAGGGGTTAAATTCAAAAGCAGGAGCACCTGGCAGTGGTATGTCGTTCATTTGCACCTGTGTCCTTCTCGTGCACTTACATGTATTACATGCATATACGTACACACGCGTGTGAGTACATGAAACTTTAGAAGCGTGTGAGCGAGAACAAACTGCTGAGCGCTGGTTTGCCAGGTGAGTGCGCTGCCTCCTTGCTGCGGCCCTGGAATGCAGCTGCCTGCCCAGGCCCTGCTGTGCCTCACGACTTGGACGCGCTCTTCCAGGCTACGTGGCGAGCGGTTGCAGGTGCCTGAAGGAAGGCTGCGGAGACACTGGCTGAGGGAGGGCACAGTGAGATGTGCATTCTGCCCAGTGCCCCGATGTTGCCACTTCACCCGCTGACCCTCCCAGCTCCATCCCGTCTCCAGTATTTTTCTTCAGTGAAGACGGGGTCCCACTGTGTTGCCCCGGCTGGTTGAAGCTGGGTACCCCTGAAAGCAGTGCTCCTGCCCCTGCTTCAGCTTCCAAGTCAGAACATTGTAGACTGACTTCCTGCGGCAGTGGCATGACAACCCAACGCTGAGTTTCTTAACCTTCCATCACGTTCAGTCCGCTGTTACAACACCCCTTGTCTGCTGCCTTAGTCTCAGGCTGGGCCTCTGTCCATGAAATTACGGATTCGATGCGCTAGTTACATGTGGGGGGAATACACAAGGAAAGAAACAAGCAATTTTAAAAATAATAATGGGGCTGGGGATATAGCTCAGTGGCCCAAGCACCTGCCTGGCAAGTGCAAGGTCCTGAGTTCAATTCCGGTACAAAAAAAAAAAGCAACACACAAAAAAAACCCAAATAAAATAATAACACTCACTTAGGCTGCACCTAAAATCAGTGCCATCCGTGGTGTGTGCCCGAACTTCGTGTGTGGCATAGTGCCATGGGCGGAGAACCAAAACCATTTTACGTGGCTGCTGTAGCGTGGCAGAGGTTACTCTCTGCCCAGCGCAGCTCAGTGCAGGGGTCACTTGCCTGTGTGTTTCCAAGTTGAAATCTTCTTGGGCGCTAAACAGTTTGAAATCAGGATTCTTGGAGGTACCTGGGCTGTCTGTTACGATCCCCGGCTGTGCGGGCCAGTAATGTCAGAGCAGAACCACGAGGACAGATGGGTGCCACTGAGCCCACTGGGCGAAGGGCCGGCTTCCGGAGAGGCTGTGGGCACCAGGCTCAGTCTGGCCCTCCCTGCTGTGTCCCGCAGATCGGCCTGTTTGACCTGGAAGTGAACTGCCTCACCAAGATCCTGTTCGGAGCGCTGGTGGTGGTGTCGCTGGTCATGGTTGCCCTGCAGCACTTCGCAGGTCGCTGGTACCTACAGATCATCCGCTTCCTCCTCTTGTTCTCCAACATCATTCCCATCAGGTACGCGGGGGGCTCGTGGTGAGGGCTCTGGTGTTTTCCCCTCTTTCTTTTTTTTGTTTTTTTTCTGGTACCGGGGATTGAACTCATAACCTTGCGCTTGCCAGGCAGGCGCTGTGCCGCCGAGCTAAATCCCCAGCCCTTGTTTCCCCTCTTTGTGATCCCCAGGCCATGGTCAGGGCTGTGAGGGGAGCCGCTGTCTGTGGAGTGCTGGCCGGGACAGTTGGGGTGAGCATTGTGAGCCACGGTTGCAGCTGCGGCGTTGCGACGGCAGCTTCTCCCCGAAGGCTGTGCACAGGGGACCTTTTCTCACTTTGGCCTGTCTGTGCAGGGGCTGGCATTTACAGTTCACTTCGTCATCCAGCTCTGCGTGGCTGGCCGTGGCCATGACACGTGCTGTGTTGGGAAGGGCTGTGAGTCTGAGTCTGCGCTCAAATGGAGGCAGTGTTGTGCCTGATTAGCAGTGACTGCCGCGGGTGTGTGCTAGGAGCATGGTAGCACACACCGATTGTTTGTCTATCTGATACGGAGGCTGAGTGAGTGGTTTTTAAAATGACATAAGCAGTCTGGCATGGTGGTGCATGCTTGTCATCCTAGTACTCTGGAGGCTGAGGCAGGAGGATTGCTCCAAGTTTAAGGCCAGCCTGAACTTCATAGTGAGATCCTGCCTGAAAAAAAAAAAAGTGTGAGTAATAAATTGTCATAGTAGAAAAAAAAGCTAATACCTATATTAGCAAAAGGAGTAAATAAAAGTCACCTTTCTCTTACTTAATCAGTCTTACTACCAAATGATAATTGCTTATTATTTGGCATGCATTTTTTTTTTTTTCTAGACTGCTTTCTATTTTAGAAAAAGTGGATCCTGCATTTAAAAAAATGCAGTATGTTATAAATAACTTTTCATATCAAATATACTTGTGTTCCCTTATTTTTTTCTTACAGTACTGGGGACTGAACACTGGCCTTTGCAGGAGTCACACCTCAGCCTGTTTGTTTAGAGACGAGGTTTCCCTACTTTGCCCCTGCTGGCCTTGAACTTTCAGTCCTCGCTCCTCAGGCTTGCAGAGCCCTGGGCTATAGGCGTGTGCCACCATGCCCTACTGTCCTGTTGTTTTTGTTTTTGTTTTTTTTGAGACAAGCTTTTGCTATGTAGTTCAGGCTGGCCTTGAACTCACTGGGTGGCCCAGGCTGGCCTCGAACTCGTGGTAATCCTCCTGCCTCAGCCTCCGGAGTGCTGGGATAACAGTTGTGTGCCACCATGCCTGGCCTGTGTCTTGTCATTTATTCACATGTTGCTGCATACTTGTCTCTACTTTTCTCCCAAAGTAAATATCAGTGAAAGTATTCATTAAACCAAATGCCCTTTTTTTTTTCTGAAACTTTTAGTGCTTACAATGTCTCTTACGCTTGATATCTTGCATTTTGTCTTGCTGTAGTGCACGGTTAGATTTGTTTTCTTATGAGAATAGAGATTGCAGCTCGGGGTCCAAAAACATGACCACCGCAGGGAGATTGTGTCCTAGCTGACTCGCTCTGCATGGTGGTCTCAGGGAATGCAGTCTGCTTCACTGCTAGCAAAACAAGACTCTAGTGCGATGTTAAGTGAATCGTAGGCTTTAAAGTTGTATTTATAACGTGGTTGAACATTGATAAATTAAGTCTTCCTATAGCTGAGGGCTCGTCGGTAAAATGACAAGTGATTTGGTTAGTTTAGGGAATCGTGAATTAGTTTGAGGATTTTTTTTTTTTTGCAATAAAGTAATACTTCAAATGAGTAGGATACACATAGTGCAATGTTATTCAGCCTCAAAAATGCAAGGAAATTCTGGCACATCCTATGGTGTTGATGAACTTGGAGCATATTATGCTCACTGTGTAAAAAAGCCTCATGCAGAAGGACAAGGAGTATTTGCTTCCAGCTGTATGAGGCCTGGAATAATCAGAGTCATAGAAATATCAGCAAGATGTGCTGTCCAAGGCGGGGCACTTGGGTGGGCAGCAGAGTGATTGTTTAATGGGTCCAGAGTTTGAGTCTAGAGTGGTTAAAAAAAAGTTCTGGAGGTGGATGGTGGTGACGGCTGCAGGGCAATGGGAAGGTTCTTACCCTCAGTCTGCACCCTTAACGTGGTACATACCACCTTTAAAAATAATACCACGATTTAAAAAAATGAATATAGTAGCAAAATATATTAACCTAGGGTTCCAGTAATTAAAAAGTAAAAGCTGAGGATACAGCTCAGTGGTAGGTGCTTGACTAGCACCTGCAAGGCCAGCTTCAATCCCCGGTGTTGTGAAAAGAGAATAAAAAGGAAAGAAAAGGTCCGATGGACACAACTCCTGTTGCCGTGTTTTAAGTGGCGTTGGTCCTACAGAAAGGCCTCAGGAAAGCCAGGGTGTGTCAGTGTTTTTGCTGCGGCGAGGCTGACCGTGTTCATGGAGGGCTGCCGTAGGAGTTGCGTCCACATATTATAGCACAAACGTGTTTGGCGTCCACGCTGTTATAGGCGGCACACGAGTGTCCTGTTAACCTGCTTGTTCTGTTTCCCCCTAGTCTGCGCGTGAACCTGGACATGGGCAAGATCGTGTACAGCTGGGTGATTCGAAGAGATTCAAAAATCCCCGGGACTGTGGTTCGGTCCAGCACGATTCCCGAGCAGCTGGGCAGGATTTCTTACTTACTCACGGACAAGACAGGTGCGCCCTCCCCAGGGCCCGCAAAGGATTCTGGGTGGCAGGAGGCAGGGCTGCTTGGCCAGAGTGCTTGGGTCCCACCTCCCGCCCCGAGAGACGAGAGACGACTGCTGCTGTTTGCTCAGCTCTGGATGAAGTGTGTGGAGCTGTGCTGATGCTGGTAAAGATGGCAGCAGATGCTCGAGCAAGGGCAAGGCACGGTGCGGGTGTTTCTGAACACTTTCTCCGTCAGTCCCCTCGCCTTGTGCGCTAGGTCGGGGGCCAGAGCAGGTACTGGTTCCAGGCAGTCTGACCACGGGTCCTGATCCCACCGCCACACCCCAGTACTGCTCCCCAGTTTAACATCTGTCTGGCTGTGAGGTTATCGTGATGGGAAGAACAAGGACTGGGGCGGGAGGCCTGGGTTTAAGCTTTCTCTCCTCTGCAGTAGCCGAGGGCAGGAGGGAAGCCGCCGCAAAGGTCCCCTGTGCGCACCGTCAGCGCGGCAGAGGCCTCAGAATGGGGGTCCAGGGAAGTTGGGACCTGTCAGGGCCCTGGGGTGGGCTCTGCAGGGCTCTGCCTTTGGGGCGACTCGAGTGTCCTTGTCTTCCAGCCATGGGTCTTTCTGCTCAAGGGTCGGGCTTTTCCCAAATGGAATCTGGCCTGGCATGTGTCATGTGCCACCCCAGCCCTTGGCCAGTGGAACAAGTCGGGCACTCTGATGGGTGGTCCTCCGGGGCTGCCCCAGGGGATGGGCATAGGCTTGTTCCTTGGTCACCTGGGACACTTTTTTTCTTCTTTTTCTTGGTCCTAGGGATGGAAACCAGGGCCTTGACATGAGAGGCAAGTGCTGTCACAGAGCTACACCCTTAGCGCTAAGATGCCTTTTTCTTCTTGAGACAGGGTCTCACCCTGTAGCTCAGGCTGTGAGTCTGCCCTTGGACTCCCTATGTAGCTTAGGCTGGCCTTGAACTCACAGCGATTCACTGCTTCAGCCTGTCAGGCACTGGGATTACAGGCATGCCTGCACCGCCTCACCTGTCTCTAAAATGCCATTTTTAAAAAGTGGGATGGGATTCTGAGCAAACAGAATACCTCTTCTGTCTGCTGCAGTGGAGGCAGGATTGAAGCCAGCTGGGACAAGGAGTGGGCCCTCCGAAGATGGCGGCTGTCATCTCCATTACCAGGCATGAGTGCGGAGGATGCGGGCAGTCACTCACCTGTCTTACGTTTCAGGAACTCTGACCCAGAACGAGATGGTTTTCAAACGGCTGCATCTGGGCACGGTGGCCTACGGCCTTGACTCCATGGATGAAGTACAGAGCCACATATTTAGTATTTACACCCAGGTAAAGCCTTCTGTTTTATTGTTTGTTTGTTTATTTACTTATTTGTACCGGGAATTGAACTCAGAACCTTGCTCTTGCCATGCAGGCGCTGTGCCACTGAGCTATACCCCTGGCCTAAGCCTTCTGTTTTAATAGCTAAAACATGTCCTGTACATTTTTTTTTTTTTTTGGTACTGGGAATCGAACTCAGGACCTTGCACTTGCCAGGCCGGTGCTGTGCCACTGAGCTATATCACCAGCCCCCTGTCCTGTACATTTTTAACAGCTCTAGTGCGGTAGAATTCACAGTACCATTCCATTTATCCATGGAAGTGTATGATTTCGTGGTTTTTAATATATCCAGGGTTGTGCAGCCATCACCACAGGCAATTTACATTCACACCCCACACGGACACCCTGTGTCTTTCAGCAGTCACTTCCCATTTCTGCCGGAAACACGCCCTCTGAGACCCACAGTGACCACTAGTCCTTGACATGTGGACTCACACCATGGTGGAGGTTCCTATGTCCCTCATCTCCAGGACAGGTCCCTCGAAAGTGCTGTTGGAGGTGGGAGAAGCCAGACAGAAAGAGATTTGTCTAATAACAAGTACCAGAAGGAGCTTTGGGACCCATCCGTTGGTTACACTTCAGATTTATCAGTGTGTGTTCTTCCCCTTTCCCTGGCTCCGAGCCAGAACGGAGGTGGTGGATGGTCTCCTTGGGAAATAGTCATGATCTTTCTGATTGCCTTTACATTCCCAAGTGCATTCACCCCCGCTGCCCTGTGAAAAAGATTAACTGATCAGAAAATACTTGGCAACTTCTCTGCTCCTGCTTTTTCTTTCCTACAAAATTTTTTTTTAAGTCAGTCATTTCTCAGAGAAAGATGTTCCTTGTAAGTGTCCTAATGTTCATCAAAAGTTAGACCAGCTGGGTCCTCACGTCGCTGCTCATCAGAATTGCTAGTGGTCTCTCAGGGCAGATCATCAAGGAAAATAAAGGCATTTATTGACCGTAGCAGTTCTGATTCATTGAGACTAGGGCAGGGACCTGGGTTTCTGTGTTTTGAAAGTAAGACCAGGCGACAGAACAAACCTCCCAAACAGCGCCTTGGTCATTTGCTAATTCTGAGGCCGCTTTGGCAGCTTCCAAGTAAAGATGGGCTCTGGTAGGACAGCTCCATGTCGTGGCGCCTGGTTGGAGATAACAACTTTGTCAAAACAGATAATGATTCCAAAGCCAGAATTCCAGTTGAAAGTGGGAAGAAATACCTCTCTGTATGTAAAGGGTGAAGGCAGAATGCCTGAATCCCTCATGGCACAGTTTTACTTGTCACTGAACATTCCAGAATGTTCTGGAATGTTCCGGAGCAGGCATACCTGGAATTCCACCCCCACCCCAAAAGCAGTGGAGCAGGAAGCATAGGTGGATGGACTTCCGATAGAGAACAGTTAATTCGATTCATCTTGTGTCATCTACTACCAGCGGTGTAGTCCTGTAATTAATTCTCTCAGGCTCCTAGGGTGAGCGTGGTGACCTGTCTCCGGGTGGATCCATGGACCTTTTTTCAGTGGCATTCTTTTCTTTAGGACTATTAAAAAACCACGCCACACGGCCTCCATTTTTTTCCTTCTCTGACCATCCTCAGGATGGCGATGTGGCCTCTGGGCTCCGTCCTGGGCCCTGCTGTGTCACCCCCAGGGTGGGCCTCTGCCCTCACTTCCATCCCATGCAGATGCGATGGCTCTGTGTCTGTCCCCGGCGCCACGCTGAGGCTTTGGACTGCCGTACGTACCTGCGAGCTTGGCATCGCTGCTGTGCCCCAAGGACCGGGTCCCCGGATCCCCAGTGTGCGTTCCACACTCCCAACACTCGCTTCTCTCCCTGGGGTCCTGGGGTTTCTGGACTCCACCCAGTGCCATCCGAGGACCCTGGAGCCTTTCCTGTGTGCTCCCCCATCACCTCCAGCCTCCCCCCAACCCATTCTACACTGGGCAGATCGCCTGTCCGCCCATCTCTCTTTGCATCCCTCCCTTGCTTGGCAGAGCTGACCGCACCCCTGACCACCTGCGCGTTTCCCCACGAGATGAGAGCTGTGTCCCCTCCTCGTTCTCGAGTTCAGGGCAGGGAGCCGGCACCTTCCTGTGTCTTAGGACAACCGCTTCCTCCGGGTGCCAGCCCCGGCCCCAGCACCGTCCGCGCTCCCTCTGCGTGGGCCTGCTGTTTGGACTGCCAGGCTTATCAGCGCTGGCTGCGGGTCTGTTTCCCCCTCGGCCCCTGGCAGGCCTGCTGAGGATTATGCCGGACGGCTTCACAGAGGCGATGTGTGTCTAGCGGAGATACGCCCTGGCCTGTTTGGTGGTATTTTTAAGAGCTTGTGGCATTTACAGAAGCCCTTCTGTCTCGGGTATTTGTCTGTTATTTCAGTGTTTATGGTTCATCCTCAGTCTCACACAGATAACGCTCTGTAAAGTGTTAAAAGTCAGAAAATGGCATTTCTTTTCATGAACTCTGTCTCACGCTCCTTCCTAGCGGAAGCTCATAAATGGATCTGTCGCCCTGGTCTTGGGTCTCAGATAGTTCAAGGCTGTGGGCCGAGGTCTGCGTGAAGCTGGGGTGAGCTCACAGGTGGGGGTAGGGGTGGCTGTGTGCGTTTTCTGCCCTGGCCATGCAGAGATCCTTCAGGGAGCACATGGCTGCCTTGTGAGGAGACATATGAAGACTTCTCCATGTTTTTAAACACCTTTAAAAAACCCCAGCCCTACTAAGTACGCAGTTCAGTGATTTTTTTTTTTTAGTGAGTTTAGCATGTGGAGCCGGTATAGCCAGTTCATCCTAGAGCATGCCCGCCTCCCTAGGGTGCCCTGTGCCCATTTCCCTCACTGCCCTGACCTGTGGGCTGACCGGTAGATTCAGCAGCGCCCTTTCCTAAAGTATGACATGTGTGGCCCAGAGTCAGAGGCCCTGGGAGTTGCGCCCAGACCCGTAGCTTTCACGGGCGAATCCAGGGCGCTCAAGGGCTCCTGTGACCTCCATGGCAGAGTTTGCAGGGTAACCCCTGGGGTCAGGAAGAGACTAGAGGATCTCTGCATGTCTTTTGTTTGCATGTCCAGAATTCATGCGAAGTTCACATCTTAGAGTGTCGGGGTCGAGCCGGGGACCCGCCCTCCGCGCATCAGGTGGGCGAGTTCTGTGGAAGGAGCCCGGTTCTGCCTTGCCGATTCTCAGTGTGTTGACACTGCAGGTTGCCCTTTATGAGTGTCCAGGTGACTGGTTTTGAGGATGTTACTGAACTGAACTAACCTCATAAAGACTGCAGGTGGTTTTAAAAGATTCCGGCAGGAAAACACCAAGATTATCAGTGTAAGGCCGAGCAGACAGCAAGGGATGGCCAGTGCATTGTGAGGTGGAACCAGAATGGACTAGGGAGAGGTGATGTGTTTCCCTGAGTTTATTTATTTCTGGATGCCTTTTTTTAAAAGAAAAAATTGCCAGCCAGGCGTGGTGGCGCACGCCTGTAATCCCAGCACTCGGGAGGCTGAGGCAGGAGGATTGTTGCGAGTTTGAGACCAGCGTGGGTTACAAAGTGAGCTCAAGGCCAGCCTGAACTGCATAGCGAGACCCTGTCTCAAAAAGACAAGACAGAAAAAAAAAAAAAAAAAAAAAAAAAAAAAAAAAAAAAGAAAAAGAAAAGAAAAAATTGAAATGTAACAGAGAAACTGTAACATTCACTTTTTTAAGAGTATGTGATTTGGGGCTTTTTAGTATGTTCACAACACGCACCCATGCCTTGTTTCAGAACATTTTCATCACCCCAAAAAGAAACCCTACACCCCCAGGACTCCCCAGTGTCTTCCTCCATCCCTTTGCTACTACTGGTGGCTACCGGTCTCCTTCCTGTCTCTGAATTTCCCTGCATTTCATGTCAGTGCAGTCAGTTAACGTGTGGCCATTTGTGTCTGAACTTTTGCATTTAGCAGACCGTTTTCAGGGCTCTTCTGGTTTGTAGTGTGCATCAGTACTTTCTTTAGGGCTGAAGAGTGGATATGACGATTTGAAATTTAACTTTAAAACGTTTGTAGTCAGTGTCACCCTGAATGTATATCATTTTGAGATGTTTGCTGATTATGCGACAGTTTTTCATTTCTAGTCTGTCATTTTATTTATTTATTTATTTATTTATTTATTTTTTGTCATTTTGAGACAGGGTCTCGCTATGCAGTTCAGGCTGGTCTTGAGCTCACTTTGTAGCCCAGGCTGGCCTCGAACTCATAATGATTCTCCTGCCTCAGCCTCCCAAGCGCTGGGATTACAGGTGTGCGCCACCACGCCTGGCCTTTCTAGTCTATCATTTTAGAATTTCATTTTTTGTTTTATAATGCACAGTGGGTAATATAAATCAGTATTAATATAAATACATACCTGTGGAGGATACCAAAAAAATTTTCCTCAATGTATCATTATCAAAGTAATTTTCAAGATAACTGGTCTGTGTTATGTAGAGTTTGTAGTATATTTTACTTTATTCCCCGCCCGCCCAGCGAGCAGAAATCTCTGACTCTTGTTAATGTGGGCATCTCGGGAGGAAATGAAGCTCCGTGGGGAACGGGACCTGAGGTGCCCCGCCCCTGAGATGCACACACCCTGCACTTTCCAGGGCTCTTCCAGCTTGTTTGTGACTTTAGCTTTTTCCAAACATAGTTGAAATTAAGCCACACAGATTGAGAGGTGAGCAGTCGCTTGTCGCTTAGTGCTTCATCTCTGACCTTAGCATGTGTTGCTAGGATTGGAGTTGGCTGAACGTTTCTTAAACGAGCGTCTGTGTCCTTCCTGTCCACGCCTTTGCCGTGTTCAGTGGGTCGTGGCCACTCGCTGTGCGCCCTTCTTCCACATCCACAGGAAACCCGCTGAAGGTTCGCTTTCTGTTTCTCAGGGAGGAGTTTCTTTATCTGTTCTTCTTGGGGACACAGAACCTGCCTTTTTTTCCCCCCACGCATTTGTCATTTGTGATACATCTT